GTGCGATGACATTTAAATAAATATCTTTTATCAATATACTCACTATCCGCTATATCATCTCGGATTTTCTTATTTAGGAGGGATTCCGACTTTAGCTTCCATTAATCCTATATCATCATAGTGTTTATAACACGAACTTCTTTTCGACTCATTTTTTTTAGCAACTTTCAAGGCATCTTTTAGGGCACCTCTGAGATCTTCTTTTCTATAATTAGATTGATCATTTATTTTATTAGCATAAGGTAATAAACCTATAACAGAGTATACTTTATCAATAGGATCTCTACATTCTCGACCTTTGGCTCCCTCTAAAGCTCAATATAAAGTTGTACCTACTTTATCATTTGGGCTATACTCACTACTAGTTCAACCAAAAGGAGTAGTAACTTTTGTATTAGGATCCTTTACATATTCTCAAGCGTCAGCTAAAAAAGAACCACTAATTAGGCAATCATCGAACATAAAAACAGTTTGACGAGATAGTAGCCCTTCTTGGTAAGTTCAAGAACGAGAAAACCACTCTGAGTTAACTATTTTATCTATTATTCACTCTTGATCTCGTAGTTGATCAAAATTCCTAACAGAAGAATAATCTCCATAAATACCAATACTTTTATGTACAGCTATCAAAGTTACAGTAGCATTACCATAATATTGACCCATTTTTCTTACTTCCTCAGATTTTTCTTGAGAATTATCTTGATTAATACACAGTTGATCCATTCATAAATACTTAATTTTTAAAAGCTCACAAGCTTTTTCAGCTTTTTGTAAAGACTTTTTTCCTCCTAAACTTAGTTTTCTTCTAGCATTTTCAACACTTCATTCCAAATCCTTGTTTCTTTCTTTTCCTCAAACATATGAAAGAGCAGCATAAGTTTCTCGTGTTTGCCTTTCTTCTATTTTTTTACCAACGTTATAAACTCTTTTTGGTAATTCAACTTTTCTTTTCTGAATACTTAAATTTGGGATTACTTCATGGTAGTTTCCTGAATGTTCACCATAATCTTCCTCTTCTGGATTACCTTTTACGCGAAAAATTTTTGAGTTTGTTGTTACCGCTACTTTTACCGAAGCATTTGAATCACTCACATTTCTTTCTCTTTGCGAATAATCTTCAATTGTTGTAGATCTTTCTTTGCGTCAAATTGAAGATTCCGAATCAAACTTTGAATAACATTCTTTTGAACAAAAATTAAGGTCCATAGTTATTTTAGTGTAGGGATCAGAAAATTTGATATTTTTTAATGATTCTTCAACATTATTAGGAATACGTTTCCCACAAGTGCCATAATTGCAAAATTTTACCATATTTTTATTGTATTATTCTTATATTTATGTATTTCTTTTATAGTTTACAATCACTACTCTGACAATTAAGCCAATTTATAACAAATTAGGTAGCAATTGATTTTTATAATTATTCTAATTTGCTATTTTTATCGTTATGACCATAGGCAATTATTTATTACATATAGAAAAGCAATTCCCTTGAGGAATATTTGACCTATAACTAAATTTATATACATTTTTTTCTTAAATATACCCCTGTTTCGGTCTCAAATACTTCAAACTCTTTAACCAATAACTATTATAAGTATCCAAATATTTCTTCCCCACAAAAATGATAAATCCTTGTTCGGTTTTGGAATTAGTCCAAGCAGCTGCTTCTCAAATCACACACTGCACATAAATTCCCTCATCAGTTTTTTGGAGCAGAGAGACTTGACAAATAGCGGTTGTTACTTCCCTCTGTTCAATACTCACCTGTCCCAACCTCTGAGCATTGACAAACAATCTGGTTCCTTGATGACGACTGAGCGCAATAAAATGCATCAAAAATCTTTGTCTTTCCCGGACATCTTGCACAATATTGCCTTTAAATAGCAAATTAATTTCATCCAAAAAGATAGTTTCAGTTACTCCTAACCTTTGACTAGGACAGTGGGAGAAATCAATCTGAGCTTTTTCGGCTCACGGTAGATTGCAAGGAAAAGTAGCATATTTGTTTTCCCCAGGTAATTCATGAGCCAACATGGCTAAAATAGCGGTCTTACCGGAACCAATCGAGCCAAAAAAGACTAAACCATTAGATTTGGTGCAGTAATCTAAGAATTCAGGGGTATTATCCAGGATTAGTTGACCTTTATTGCGAAAAATAACTAATAATAAGCCACCTATTAAGACTCCTAAACTGGCTCAAATAATAGTTCCTAAGCAGAATTTCAGTTTATCCAGCAAATTATGTAAAAAACTACCCTCAGTTGGACGATAAAAAAGAAAGAGGAGAAAAAATGGAATGATTAGGAGGAATTTGTAAGTTTGGATGAATTCTAAATAATTAATCTTATTCTTCTTTAATTTCTGATGCTTTTTATCTTTCTTCATTTTCTAAATCCAATACTAATTGTAATTTACTTCTTACTTCGTTCATTATTTCAGTTTTTATCTGACCGTAATATTTAATATATTCTTCTTTTATCAATACTTCGGATTTGATTAAGGAGAATTTTACTCTTTTTCCCCAAACCATTTTCCTTACTAGGAATAATAACTTTTTCAAATAATCTTTCTCTTTTTAAAGTGGAAGTAATGGGAGCCACAATCACATAATGACCATGCTCGTTTTGAATATTGTTGCTGACTACTAAGCCCGGATGAACTTCTTTGATTTCTTTACCTTTACTGGGGCTAAAATTGATTTGATAAATTTCGCCTTTGCGGGGAAAGCCGTGCGGGAATAACTTACTCATCTTTTTTTAGTCCGTCACTACTGGCTTGATCTCAATCAGTTAGTTCTTTATTTAATTCTTCATCCTGAGTTGCATCTTGGTAATCAGCGATTAATTGCTTTTTAAAATTGTCTTTGATTTTCTTTTGCTCGTGGACTAATTTTTCCTCGGCTGCTTCATTAATGAACCGACTAATTTTTCGTTGGGTGATTAATCTTTTTATTTTGTTATAGGTTTCTTCTTGAAAATAAATATTTACATTGCGACCAGTCATAATATATTATTTTAAGTAAGTATGTATTTAGGTAAGTAAGTTTATTTTTTCTTTTTCGGTTTTTTAACTTTCGTTTGACCTAATTCCTCCTCACTTGGTTCTTGCTTCTCCTGATCCAAATCCACTTCTATTCCTTCGGTAACTAAGTTTATCGGTTTACTTTTCTTTTTCCGCTTTTCTTCTTTATCTCACTTGGTTAAGTCTTCTGGGCTGATTTTTTTATCACTTAGTCCATATTTTTTTAAATTAGTTTTGATATCTTTGATTCGGGCTGATTTCTTGCGAACAATTTTTTCTTCCTTTTTTCGCTCTTGCAGGTATTGTAAAAGGAGATTGCGATTAAACTTTAAATTCTTAATTCATTCTTCCTCGCTCGTGGCCATGCCACTTTCTTCAATTACACGCAAGATTTCCCCAGCTTCTTCGGCTTGTAATTTTTCTTCAAAGATGTATTTTAATCAGTTGGCTTGGTAATCTTTGGGGATATTTCAATGCGGATCATAAAAAGAGGAGATTTCCTTATTGTCAATGGGAATAATAGTTGGCAGAATATTATATCAACTATCATTGGCCTGGACAAAGAGCAAGGATTTATCTAAAAAAGTGATGTAGGTTAAAACCTTTCAGGACTTATTTTTATTAGTTTGGAAGACTGATTCAGTTTGACTGCCATTACTGGTTCAGATAAAGGTGCCACCCAGTTTGCCGGCATGGGAGATGTAGTCTTGCAGGGCGGAGTAACCATTTTCACCAAATTCTTTACTGCTTCATTTTTGAAAAGTAGCTAAGTCATCTAAGAAGTAATAAAACTTATGGGGCGCTCCTCATTTACCACTAATGTGGATTTCTAGTGTGGATTTGCTCAGAGTAAAAGTGGATTGGGGAGCTGGGAAGTTAATTAAATTCAGTAGACACAAACCCAGCAGATGATAACATAATTAATGGTGTGAAAATTGGAAGAAGGATCACCACTTCCCTTAAAATTATAATATATAGTTGTCTATTGAAAACAATCAGTAGGTAAAAGGTGTTTGGAAAATGTCGATTACCTACCAAGTAGCCTATTGGTTGCTTTGAATATTCAACAAAAATGGTAATCGACAATTACTCAAAAAGGGTTAACTTTAAAAAACTTTTACAAGAAAATTTTCAGAGAGGAAAGAAATTTTTCGCTTTTTTAACCCATTCTCAAAAAAGGAGAAGAATACTTTTGATTTTTAAAAACCCGCCTTAAAGTTTCCTATTGGAGAATTAATTTTCGAAAATAGAGAACTTAATCTTTACTTTGGGAAATTAACTCATTATTCCCACAACCAGCCTAGACAAGAAACTAAACTGGTTGCGAGCAAAATACGGCAGCCAGGTCGCCGTTCCCGGTTGAAACATCACTAAAAAACAAACTGCCGATAAACAGCAGCCGTGGCGATACTATGAGGGCAAAAACTTGCCATAACGCAAGAGAATTACCACCGCAGGAGTTCTAAAATCTGTAATCAAGAATTTAGACCGAAGCGGATACCACGAAATCCTGACTGGCCGACCTCTCAAAATGAGAACTTTTATATAGGGGATTATGAACCTATATATTTATTTTATGTTTCGAAGTGAGGCGGAAGGTGAATTATGTCGTTTTTTTTGCTCTATTTTTACCCTTTTCCCCCTTTTCTTTTATTTTTAATTTTCTTTTGGCAGCAGAATAAGGTTTCCGGGTGTTCTAATTTTAATCTATTCTCTTATATCTCCTTTCTTTGGCCCTTGATAAAAATTTTTTGATGACCTAGTATTAAAAAATAAGGGGGTGCTGAAAGAAAAGGTTCGCAAATATTTTTAACCAAAAGACCATAGTGTTATCTCGTGAATAAAAGATAAATAATCGGTGAATAAAGTTGTAAAAGATAATTGAATTTAGTTGAATGGACTGAACTTTATTCAGAAGTAAAAATTTGGTAGAGATTGGTTTTTAAGGGTAATCAACCTAATTTGGTCTTAAAATTGCTTATATGTTTCCCACTCAGCAACTTTTAGAAAAAGTTAGTAAGGAAATCCAAAATATTCCGAATAAACGTAAAGAAAGCAAGCGTGGAATTCATTATGGCTTATTCTTGTTGGGTTATAAATCTGGTCTACGCATCAGTGAAGCAGTAAGTTTTAGTTTGGCAAATAAAACTAGACATGGTTTATATCACATAAAAAAAACAAAAGGCAAAAAAGAAAGGTTGGTTTACATCCCAAAAAGAGTTATCGGTGAATTAGAGAAAAACAATTGACAACCGAATCAAACTAATCGCTGAAACTTTTACCACTTTTTACGGAAAATGAAAAAGGAGTTAGGAATTAGCGAAAGCATAGAGTTATCGCCACACACTCTACGCCGTTCTTTTGCTACTTATCAGGCAGAATCTGGTATGCCTTTGCCTATTCTCCAAAAATTATTGGGACATTCCTCAATTAGAACCACTGCTTTATATTGGCGGAATATTTATGGTGATAACAAAGGAGATACTGACGCTCCTAATATTCTCGCCGGCAAAAAGTGATTAGAAAGTAAAGAAAAGAAATCACCAAAACCAACCACAGAAAATTTTCCGAGAATACCAAAGAACCCCGAATCTGTTTTTATAGAACAAGAATCGGTAATTTCACCACAAAAACCAATTCAGCAGGATAATTCCTTATCAGCTCCAAATCTTAGCAAAAAACTCCCACAATTAGTTAACGCAATTCCACCAAAATCTCAAGAGAAGTTTTTACTAGCCAACACCAACAAAAAAAATGATCAGCTACAAACCAGTCAACAGTTAATATTAATCCCTAACCAAAGGGAAAAAATAACCAAAACAGAACTTATTTTATTAGCTAAAATTAAAAATTTGGAGCAGCAATTAGTCCAAATTCAAACTGAAAATAAAAGTTTAAAGTCTGAAAATCGGCACTTGAAGATCCTAATTCAGCAAAACCAATTAAAAACCGAAGCAAAAATTATCCAACCACTATCTTAGAAAGCCAAACGTTAGTCAAAAATTAATGAAAAAGAAAAAACTCAACCAAGTTCAATTACAAGTCAAAATCCTCCTCATTAAAAACTGAGACCAAGTCAGCAAACAAGAAAAAAGATATAGAGCAGTGATGAAATACAAAGTATTGTTCGAAGGACTAAAAGAAACTTATGGGGAATTTTCCCACAATTAGCACCAACTATTTTTATCCAAATAATTATGTATTGTATGGTTAAACCATCCAAAACTAACATATGCAGCACCATACAATACAGAGATTAAAAAGAAAACTGAACCAGGCCAAACCTGACTGTTGCTTTACCGGAATGGAACTGCTTTTGCTTCGTGGTTTATTTCCCCGACAGGATTATGTTGTTAAGGAAAGAATTATGATTACTTGCGCCTTGCCGGTCGTCTTGATTGAATTAGCCAAGAGTTTAGTCCACAGCGGACAAATAGAAAGTGTTAGTTTTTTATTTAGATTATGTTTAGTGAATTATGAAAGAACAAATTGGATGCCTCCTTGCTTGGAATTACTTCCTTGGACTATTCCAAAGGTGGATTACTCTTTTAGAATAGAAAAGGAAACTTTAAAACTTTGACAAAACATCAAAGAGAACAAAGTCAAATTCCTCGAAAGTTGAGGTTGATTTTGTGGGAGAATGTATGTGGGGAAGTTGATTTAGGGGTTATTTCTTTCGGTGTTTACTATAACACTCTAACGCCTTTTCTAACACTTCGTTATAATGGCGTCTCTCCTCGTAAGCAATTGCTTTTACTTGTTCTATTCATTCTTTTTTCACGCGAGTAGCAAATAAATAAGTTCTCCCTGTTTTCCTTAAACTTCTTTTGTCAATATTTAGTGATTGAATATTTTCGCTGACTTCATTGATGGGAGCTGCGCCTCAATTTTTTTTGATCTTTTTCGTTTCTGGTGTGGTTTTTTTCTCGGTTTCTTTTTCTACCATAATACAATCAGCACAGTAAGTAGGATAATGATCTAATTCCTTTAAGTTACGAGCTATTGAATAAGTGGTTTCTTGCTGGTATTCCTCTTGGCAATTATCGCAGGTGAAGTTTGTATAAGGATAAGGATTTAAGTGTTCTTGGTTCATATATTATATTTTACTGTTAACTGTTATCTATGTTAGCAGTTAACATTCTTTTAATACATTTTTAACTAATTTCTTTACCTGCTCTTGTAATCTTTTATATTTTACTTCGCCAATACTTAATCCTTGATTTTGGGCTTCTTGGTAAGAAACTTTTTCCTCTAACGCCAGTGGGAAAACATAATATCCGGCAGGGGCTAAATAATCACGGGTAGCTTTTTCCATGGCAGGAGAACCAGCGGCATTGATTACGAAACTTAGTTTATTTTTAGGAATTCCTGCCTTAAATAAGCCATTAAATTCTCTAATGGCTGGGTTTAGGTCATCCAAAGAAGGACGAACCGGTTGAATTATTAAATTGGCTTGCTTGGCAATTAACAAGCTTTCTTTACTTATTTTGGCTGGTCCATCAATTATTAGATAATCATACTGGCTTTTGGTTAATTTTTCATCAAAAAAAGGGAGAGATTGACAATTGATAAGCGGTCTTATTCCCTGGATTTTTCTCCGTTCGCTTCATTCTTGGCTGGTTTTTTGTTGAATGTCTAAATCAACTAATAAAACATTAAATTTTTGTTTGGTAAGTTCCACGGCTAAACAACGAGCCAAAGTTGATTTTCCGCCTCCGCCTTTTTGTGATAAGCAAGCAATAATTTTTGGAGTTAAATCTCTTTTTTTGCTTATCGCTGAACTTTGTTTCTTTAAGTATTCCCATAATAGTTTGAATGTTTAATCTATTCGGTGGCAGTTTCTAATCCATAAGTGGTTAGTGGTGTCATCTTTAAATCAAAAGAACAGTATATAAGGTTTAGAGTCGTGAATAGTTTCTCACTCATAAGGTTCCCGTAAACCATCATATTCCATTGGTTCAAAACTTTCCCCATTCATTTTGGTTAGTAATTCCAGGATTAATTCTTTGGTAATATTCTCCCGTCCTTTTTTCTTTCAAATATGGTCGGTAATAGTGATTTCGTTTATTTCTTGCTTATTAAAAGTAAATTCAAATTGGATTGAATAAGTTCAGCGTCATTCACTATCAACTTCCTTTTCCTCCTTAAATTTAAACAGTGCGGGCATGAATGGTTTTGTTGTCAGTAATATTAACTTCTATCTGAAAAGGAGCAAACAATTGGCTGGCATAAGTCATTAGCCTATCCAAAGTAAACTTTTCAATCTCACAGAATAAAATATCCTCGGTTTCGGCTTTGCTTAATCCCATTTTGTCGGCCACCTGCTCGCGGGTTAGTTTATTATCTAATTTATAACCAAGGATTTTTTTACAAAGTTTATATTTAGCCACTTGTAAAGAAGTTGGATTTTCCGGCAAACTACGATTGACTTCTCGGTTATAATTAGGGTCTTCTACTTTTTTTAAGAATTCTTTAAATTTTTGTTTTTCATTTTTAACTTTCATGATGTTATTAAAATCTTTACTTTTTGTCTTTATGTATTATTTTCGCAATGTAAATAACTTCGTGTTCAATGTTATTTTTTACTAATAGGTTTCTTAACTTTTCAGCATCATTAGTCTCAATTATTAGCAATTCAGTCATAATATTATATTTTAGTTTGTTTTCCTAACCAAGATAACAGTTAACCAGGTTAGCAGTTAACATAGATAACAGTTAACTTTTTTTATTCCCCATCACCTAAACAGTTTCTTATCACTGTTTCTCCGATACCCTAATTAATCTCTGCATAGTTTTATTTGCCCTTTTTCTTTTTCACTAAATTTCTCAATAATTCTTTAAAATATTTGCTGTTTTTTCTTGGCTTTCTAATGGTTTTTAAAAGTTTTTTTCTTTCGTGAGGAGATATTGCTCTACCATTATTATTTATGTTTTTGTTTTATTTTTAATAATTCATTTTGACTTAAACCCTGCTCTTTTAAACAAGTCAAAAGTGAAAAAGTAAACTTTTCCAATTTAGCACTCTACGAGGTTATTGCTTTTCTTTTTCATTATGAAAAATAATTTCATAAATAATAACGGAGTAATTCTCCTAAATACGAATAAAAAACAAGCAAAAACCAAAGTTGAAATACAAAGTATTGTCGGAGACCAAAGCCAAATTGAAGCCTTGAAACAGCAAGAACAAGCGATTATTGCTGAATTAAGTAATTGAGAGACTAAACAAACCAAAGCCGAGCGATTAACTAATTATCTAGGTGAAGTAAACAAATTTAGCAGCAAATTTTTATCCGAAGCAGTAAAAGCCAAAAAAGAAAAAGAGAATCGTGATGACTGATGCTTGGAATACTCGATCAGAGATAAAGTAGAATTTGCGTTAAAATTTGATCCAGCAGTGGAGACTTTTACTGACCTAATTTGCCAAAAAATAACCAACCAAGTTAGCTATTTAAAAAGTCAATTAAGCACTATTCAACAACAATTATCGCACCAAGAGCGAATATTTGCTCGCATAGAAGCCCGACGACAAGGTCGTGAACTTTTAACTTGCCAATATAAAAACCGTTTGGGTTGCATTGGTGTTTATCGCTGTGATAATTGTCAGGTAAATTATTCCGTAGTTGACAATAACCAAGCATTAGAAATTACCAAATAATCATGGCAAGTATCGAATTAAAATTCCAAGGAACCTTCAATAACTCAAATTATTTACAAGAATTTGCCTGCTGTAATTGTCAGCAGTATATTTCCGAACAGGACATTTGTCAAGGCAATTATCGCCTTTATGTGAGTGATTATGCTAATGACCTCGCAAAAGAGGAGTTTTTTTCGGAGAGGTTGGGATGCTACCTAACTACTTATGGCTTGAATTTCTGATTAAAAACTGCGGAACACTTGGATTGCCCAGAGGAGGGGGGCTAATCTCCCCTCTTTTCGCACATCTACGTTTTTGCTTTTAAACTTCTGCTCTCTTTCCCGCACCTATCGGTTGAATTTGCTTAACTATTTTCTTTAATTGTTGTTGTTCTTTTCAGCATTCTAATTCATAATGCTTTTGTAAATCTAACCAATAATCTTCCCTTAATCCTCAATATAAGCCCAGGCGATAAGAAATTTCGGGGGTAATATCCCTTTTTTCTTTTACTATTTCTTTAATAATGTTTTCCTCAACTTTAATACTTTGGGCTAATTGTTGGGGGGTTATTTGATAAGTTTTTAATAATTCCTCCCGCAATATTTCTCCGGGGTGAATGGGATGTAAATCTTTATCTCTTACCATAATAATTTATTTTATTTACCATACTTTTTACTGTGTGGGTCAATTCAAATATCATAAGTCTGTTGTTGTGCTTTATCTCACCTAAATATTAAGCGATATTTTTTGCTCAAACGAATACTGTGTTGGTCTTTGCCAATTTTCTCTAAGCGACTACCACTAGCACCATAAGGAAAATACACAATAATTTCTTTTCAACTTTTAGCCTGATAAATTATGACTACTTTACGGTGGGCTTCTTGTTTATCACTACGACTAAGTTCTTGGAATCTGGAAACTCTTTCGCCATGATAAAAGTTTTCAGTGTCTTTATCTCTAAATCTGGGATTTTTGTTTTCGTCTGTGTTAAGATTTGTTTTTAAGTTTTGGCTCGCCATTTATGTTTATAATAATGTTGGCACCGGTCTTTACACTCCTTAATTTATTTTAGTATTATAATTTTTTTCACCGCTTTTCTCACTCTAAATATTCCCCTGAATTTTAACTATCTGATAAATTTCCCCAGTAAATTTTTCATGCTCTTTCGCTAGTTCTTTATCATGCTTTCCATTATTAAGCACTAAATCACTTTCACAACTACTTTTACCATGTTTTACTAATTGAATATAGTGAGCGATTTCATGGTAACAAGTAGTAATCATTTTATCAAAACTAATATCTAAATAAGAATAATCTCCTTGGGGATAGTAAACTATTTGTCATGTCCGAATTTGTTTAATAAATAGAGGCGGTTAAGGCTAATATTGATTTCTTTGACATAATGAGGATAGGTAATTTGGTGAAGAAAACACTGACCCATTGTTCCTAATCCATCGCCGGTTTTTGGGTCATAATAAAGACCTTCAAAAGTTAAGGGTAAATGTGAAATGTCTATATTTTGACTATCCGCGAACTTTTTAGCATAAGTGGTTAGTAAATCAGTAAAAAAAGACTGGATGGCTGGGCTTAGTTGTCATTAATGGGTTTTTTTTCAAACAATTCTAAGTGCTCGAATGCTTGTTTGTTTTCTGAGTAATGTATTACTTGTCCAACCTCTGAATTGTATCTTTTAGTTCTTTTACTTCATTCGATATTGCCGATCATGAATTCAATCATTCCCTCACAATAATCATTCATATTTGAGTTATTCTCTTGTTTGATTTCCGAATAAATTGATTTGAACTCGGCAGTTAATTGTTCAATCTCTGCCAAAACTATTTCAACAGCTTGCTCTTCACTAATTTTTTTCTCATTTTGGATGACTATAACATAATTTGGAAGTCCTTGTTGTTTGTCTTTTCCTAGGGAAAACAAGTCATTAATTCGAAAAAAATGAAGAACTGTAATTTCTAATAATCTTTGTATTTTAGAATGCTCAACAGTTTCATTAATTGTATTCTGCACAAATTCAGTTCCTAATAAATAGTTAAACATGCCTACGCTGGCATAACGATAATCTGAATACTCCTTGATAGATGGCATTCGCCCACTTTGTCTAAATAGTCTCTCTTTGCGACATCCTTTCAAATAATGCTCAAAATATTCAACGAATCGTTTAAGCTTGAATTGGTCATTTGCTGCTAAATTATAGATACGATCAACAATGTCTATTCAAGCATTAAAGAGATTGTTAATACGAGAATTATTATCTAATTTTCTTGGAAACCTCTTAGCAATGTTAATTGCTTCTTTTGAAAAATCTTCAAATTTTTCTATGCTTTCGGTTTCTTCTAAAATATCATCAAAAATAAAAAGCCATACTACGTGATCACTCCAAACTTGTAAAAGTTCTCGATCGGCAGTAGGATAAAGCCAAGAGACAGCAAAGGAGAAATTAGCTTTATCAATCATCTCAAATAATTTGTCGTCGCTTTTTCCAAAAGGAGCAAACGACCTTAATCATTCAGCAGTCTGAGCTTTGACTTGTTCACAAAATGGATTAATTTCTTTGACAGGTGATAAATAGGTGAATTGGTATTTCTGCATATTTGGGTAAATTATAAAGTGTATTTTATACACTTTGACCATTAGGTGAGGATTATCAAGGTTTTTCCTCGTGTCAGCATTTTAACACTATTCAGAAGTTTTTATTTAGATTATTTTTTTAATAATTTATTTTGAGTTTAGTTTCAACATGAAAAAAATAATTTTCCTAAATAAAAACTTAATATCTGAATTAGAAATAAATGTTGAACCAAATAACGACTATATAATAAGTTGCAAACTCTGCCAACGAGAAATAGTTATTTACAGTGAAAACAAATATCCCAATGTCTGTTTTTACGATGACTTAACCAGTTATAATTTTTGTTCTTTTAAGTGTTTCCAATGCCGAGCGGAAACCTATCAGGAGTGAATGAAAGAGGATGCGGATTAATTTCCGTGGTTTTCTTTGCTTGAAAATATTCCCGTCCTTTTGGTTTTTGCTACTAAATTTTATGCTAAAAAACACTCTTTTTTACTACTTTTTTCTCTAAAATTGAACTTTTTTGAACTAATTAAAAGTTTATTTCCGACCTAATAGATTAAAAAGTTTGAAGTATTTGAGGCCAAAACAAGGATATATTTAGAAAAAATTATTTTGACATCTTTTACTGAAATAAATAAGAACAAAATTTTTTTAAAAGATAAAAAACCTTTTATTACTAATTATAAAAATTAGTTATAGAATACTTATTAAATAAAGTTTCTATGTATAGGTGAAAGAGATAGCATAAAACATAGATAAGGAAAGGTCATCCCTTTCTGATATTGTTAATGGTTGAAATGGTTATCTAATCTAAAATAGTTGGGATACTGCCGATTGAGAACGAGACAACACAGTAAACTAATGAATAATAACAAATTTATATAATAAATCAAATATGACATGCGCACACATTAAACTAGTAGTTAGAAAAATAAACGAACTGATTGAAAAAATTGGTGATGATAATTCTATACTCTACAAGAGCCTTGGAATTTATGTAAAAAAAGAAGAAACAGAATCTGGTTTGTGTTTGAAGAAAGTTCCACAATATTGTGGTTCAAATAATGATAGTTGCCGCGAACATTATACAGGCGGTTCCTCTTATTTAACTTTTGGTTGTGAATATAATATAAAGACTATTAATAAAAATGCTTTAGGCGAATATTTTTCCGAAATAGGGGTGTTAATAAATGATTGTGATTGCTATAACGATTTAAATAGAAATTCAATAGATAAATATAATAAGTTAATTAAAGAGTTTAATGATTTAGCCAAAAATTCAGTAAGTAAAGAGGCTCATGAAGAAGTAAAAAAACAATGAAAAAAAGATGTTGATGATTATAATAAATTAGCTGGTGATCACAGAGAGTTAGCAGAAAAATGTAGAAATTTAATTGGGAGGCTTGAAGAATATGAGGAATATAAAGATAAATTTGAAGAAGTTAGGGATGAAAGAGAAAGGGAGAGAATTGACAACACACGAGAAATTAGTACTTTGCAAAGAGACAAAACACATTTGCAAAGAAATTTAACTGATACTCAACAACGACTAACCGCTAGTGAAAACAAAGTATCAAGAATAGAGGAAAGATTAGAAGCAAGAGGCAGAGAAGTATTAGAATTAAAAAGTAAATTAGAGAGGTTGAGTATAAATGTTGATAATTTAGAAAAATCACGAGAAGAGTTATTAAATGAAAAAGTTAACTTAAAAAACGAAAAATTAGAGATTTTTGCTAACAATTCAGGAATTAATGCTAATGAGGTTGATAACTTGCTCCGATATTATGAAAGATTAATCAACGCCCGCAAAAATTACAACCAAGTTAATATTGGAACTCACGAAGGCAATATTAACCGAGTTAGAGGAATAATCCGTCAAAGTGGAGTTAGTGTTGAAAATACTCAAAAGTGTTGTCGGAAGTGTGAGAAAGTTGCCAAATTACGTACTGAACTAAATGAAATAAGACAACAACAATACGAAGCACGGCAAGAAGTTCCTCCTCGTCATTAAGGGAGAATTAATTTAAATTAAAATAAAGCAAATATAAAATATGACAAAACAATATTATCAAATCTTGGAGGTCAGTGAAACAGCAACCCAAGAAGAAATTAAAAAATCCTATCGCAAATTAGCCTTAAAGTATCATCCCGACAGAAACAAATCTCCTGATGCTGCAAAAAAGATGCAGGAGATAAATAGGGCTTATGAAGTTTTAGGCAATGAGGAATTAAGAAAAAGGTATGATTTAGGAGAAACCCAGTTTACTTTTACTGCTTCGGAATCTAATTATAGTCATGAAGAAGAATTAAAAAATATAAGTGATGAATTGAAGAGATTAAGGGAAGAGCAAAAAATTTTGGCTCGTAAAGATGTGATAAATATAGTGGACTTTGAAATGTTAATAACCGAAATTTTTCCTAGCAAACTAGAAAGTAATTTATGGGCTCCTTATGATAGATGACAAGAAAAAGTGTGAAACATAAAAATCGGAGATGATAATACTAGTGAATACGGTATAGATACTAGGGAATTAGATAAGTTTAAAGAAACAATGATTAATGCCATCAGAAAAAGAAAAGAGGAATGAAAAACAGGAATAAATAATCCTTATTTTGATAAAACTAAGTCTCATGCTATTGAAGCAATAGAGGAAGCGATGAAAGAAAAAGGTTTGAAGACTGAGGATTTAGGCGAATATTCCAATTATAAGGAGCAGATTAATAACTTGGATAGACAATGAAAAGTTCGTAATTTGAAAGACAAGATTGTAGTTTACATTAAAAACAAACTCATCCTAAAAAACGACGATAAACAAGATAAACAAGATAAACAAGATAAACAAGATAAACAAGATAAACAAGATAAACAAGATAAACAAGATAAACAAGATATCAAAGTTGACAAATTAAAAAAATTTCTTGATAGTCCATCAACCAAGCATAACGAAGAGTGAAATCAGGAAAAGGAAGGGTTGTTGAAGCAAATTTCAGACTTAAAATCCCAAAATAATCAAACTGATTTAGCCAGAGAGGTCAATAACTTAAAACAATTAGTCCAGCAATTAGAAAAGGAAGTTAATCAATTAAAAGCAGAAATTCAAGAACTAAAAAAAGAAAATGATAATAGTCCTGAACTTAATTCTTACCTTACTAAAAAAGAAAGTGAATTACAAAGCAAGCAGTCTAAATTGGGGCAGTTAAGAAGTATTGTGGAGATTGGAAGTTCTGAAAGCAAAAAGCCCAAATCAGATAATAAATTCCCAACTGGCTTAGTTGTTGGTGGAGTTATTGTGTTTTTTTGTTTACTAGTAATGATTTTAGTCATAACAAATAAAAAGCAAAAAAAATAAAAATATTCCCTGCTAATAATTTTAAATTATATAAATTAAATTCTCCACTAAAACTAGTGAGTTCCTGCAGTTTTGGCTTTCAAAAGAAAGTTGCAAAGAAAATTTTCCCACTTTTCACCCAAAACCACTCATTTTCACGGAAATTTACACAAATTTGATACCAAATTATGCCTTTAAAACTAACTCTTAATAACTTTTTAAGTTATTAGAGAATTAAAAAAACAAAATCATATTTCTTAAAAAAAAATAGAATTCAATAGTCTCGCCAAAACAAGTGATCGGAAAAGAATTGGCAAGCCTACTTGTCAAAGGCAAGAAATGTGCTAAATATCCCTAAAAAGCAAGGAAAAACGCTAGAAACAGCCTTAAATTCCGGAAATTTTTTTTTGCTACTTTTTTTACTTATGGATATAGGGGAGGGAAAATAACTAAAACATATTATACTTTTAGAGTATAAATATCATTTACCTAGAAATATAGGAGATTAAAGTTTATGAAAGACCTCTTAAATAAAACCTCCCCATCAAAGCACCTTTTTAGAACTATTTATTGTCAAGATTGTAAACAAGTAAAAACCTGCGGGAAACTTAGTTCCGAATATTGTTGCCGGTGTTCTTATCAAAAACATCAGAAAAGTGAGCCGATTACTTAACCGCTGAAAAATCCTTATCTTATGAAAGGCAGCAGAGAAAGGAACACCAAAGAAATTTACAGCAATTATTATTAAGCAAACTCCCTGAAAACATAATTGATTTCGCCGATTGAAAAAAGTTTTACCGCCAAAAAAGTTGGGGTTTAGATTTAGAGGAATGATTAAGAAATAAGAGGGTTCTGCCCATCGATTCTCATTGTGCAGAGAAATGACGAACCAATAAGCAACATCTACCGGAAAGTTGTGGTTGTTTAGAACAAAAAGTCCGAGAAAATTTTGCGTTCTTTACTGACTGCTTAAAAAGAGATAAAAAAAGATTAGAAACCGAGTGTCAGTGCGAAACCAGTGAGAAAGTGCGGGCTGATTATCTGGATAGTGAAGGGAGTGGCTGGACTTATTGTGAAAAGTGTGAGGTAAGGATAAGGAGCGCTGGACATCACGGGGTAATTAAGAACCGCAATGACCCGAAATTTTGAGGACTGAACATTAAAGAAAAAGTGTTGTGCGGCAATTGTTTAGAAAGCAAAAAAGAGCAAATGACGCCATTAAGACGAGCCGAGTTTAACCGCTATCGAAAAAAAGGTCTTTTTCGGCGTTAGTAAAAACAAAAGTTATAAAACTCCCCTGATTTCTTATTTTGATTTTTTGTTATTTTCATGGAAATAGTATGTTTGACTGGCATTTTTACCACTTTATAAATCAACAAAAACTACTCCAAAGCCAAAACCAATTTTATTCCTTTTTCTATCTCTTTAATTAACTTTTCCTCTAATCGTCCGCAATATTTTCGTAAACGGGCATTATGGTCGATACTGTGAATCTGGTTGAGTAATATCTTGCTATCAGTGTCTAAGCCATTACTAATCGTTTTAAGAACCAGTACTTCAAAAGGGCGGATTACTTCCATTTCGTCGCTACTAATGGGAGCCACCGTTAAATAGCGGTCATGCTGATTTTGCAGATCATTACTCAGCACTACGGCTGGTCTTATTTTGCGGATTTCTTGACCTTTCCGGCGATTAAAGTCAACTAAATAGATTTCACCTCGTTGAGGAAAACCATGAGGACAGATGGATAGTTTGCTCATTATTTAATGTCTTCTAAGGATTCTTCTCAAATTTCGGCTTCTTTTTGCAGTTTCTTGCTGCGGGCGGAACTTTGATAAGCGACAATTAATTCTTGCTTTTTTTGTGCTAATTCTTTTTCCACGGCTTGATTAACAAATTTACTGATTTGGCGAGAACCAATCAACTTTTTTAAATCTTGGTAGTTATTTTCTTTGATAGTGATACTCAAGGTTCTAGTCATAATTGTTGTATATTGTTTATTTTACATTGTTTTTTCTTGGCGGAAAATTCTTCTAACTAGTTGCAAAAAAATATTTCTCCCCTAATGGCCAATTAGGTCGGTTTTAAAAACTGATTTGTGAATATTAAAAAACTTATAAAATAATTCATTATGGTAAAGGCTCAAAAATATATAAACCAAAAATATCCAAAAACAGGAATTAGAAAATATTTCACCATAAGAAAGAGAAAAAGAAACAAGATTAGTTATTGACAACAGAAACCTCGAAGGAAACTTAGACCTCTCGGATTTTATTAATTTAAAAGAATTATATTGTCGAAATAATGAACTAACCTCTCTCAATTTGAGTAATTGCTCTCAGTTAAAGGAAATTACTTGTCATGGTAATCAACTAACCAATCTCACTCTACCTAATGATCCTACCAATTTGAAAGAATTAGATTTAAGAGGTAATAACTTCTCCGGCGACTTAGTTTTTTTGACTAAAGCTACCAGTTTAGAAGAACTTAAACTATCAAATAACAAGTTCACTGGTTCCTTAGATTATTTAAGTAACCTGAAGCAATTAAAAGAACTTGATATTAGCAACACGGATCTAAATGAAGTAAGTATAGATAAACTACCTACGAGTTTAAAGTATATTTATTATTCTACTGAATATAGACCAAACTGTAAATTAACTGAAATAGTTCCCCAATTAGAGAAATACGAAAAATATGGTTGATGTCATAAATGTCAACAATTTAATACTAGCCAAAGCTGATGCCAACCTTGTTTTGAGGAAGAATTACAAAAAGATTTAGAAAAATTAACTGGACAAGAATTAGTAAAGAAGTTTAATGAAAAACAAAAAAGAAAAATAAATTGAATTCCTTATGAAGCATTTAAAATAGAAAAAGATGAACAAGGTCATCATAAACTTTTAGCCCAAGGAGGTTTTAGTAAGATTTATAAGGCTAAGTGAGGAAAAAAAGACCATTATCCTTATGATGACAGAATAGTTGTTCTCAAATCTCTCATCAACTCCCAAAATATTACCTTAGAATTTCTAAACGAAATGGCTAATACTAAATTGGTTGATGGTAGTAATATTGTAAAATGCCACGGTATTTCTCAAGACCCTGATACTAAAAATTATCTAATGGTGATGGATTATAAAAAAGATGGCAATTTAAGACAAGTTTTACAAAATAATAAGGAATTAAGTTTGGAAGATAAAGTTCAGAAGTTGTCATGAATTACTGAGGGATTAAATACTATTCACTACCAAAACCTAGTCCATCGAGATTTCCATAGTGGGAATATAGTAGGATTTAGTATCACCGATCTCGGTTTATGTCAACTAGTTAATTCGCAAAAAGAAGAAGGGCAAATCTTTGGCGTGTTGCCTTATGTTGCTCCGGAAGTATTACAAGGTCAACCTTATACTAAGGCTAGTGATATTTATGGTTTCGGAATAATTGCTTATGAACTCTTGGCTCAGGCTTATCCTTATGAGGATAAAAACTTAAATGATACTAGTTTAGCCTTGGAAGTATGCAATGGTTTACGACCTAAGATAGGTAAAGTTCCCATCCCTCAATTATTAAAAGATTTAATTAAAAGCTGTTGAGAGGCTGATCCACAAAAAAGACCTAGTGCTGGGGAGTTATATTGGATTATTAAGGGTTGGCATGATGAAATTAGGTATGGATACACTCAATTCACTCGGCAATACCAACCCCTAGTCAGAAAATACCACACTTTCTCCCAAAACACTCCTTATCAAATCCATCAGACTGCCATTACCCATAGTAAACCCATCAATACTAAACAAATCACCCAATTATTACAAAAAATTAAACCAACTTCCAATTTAGAGGAAATCATAGAAATTGAATTACCAGAAACTAGTTATTCTCTAGAAGATGATTTTGGTCTTGATGAATTAAATCTTACCGAAACAACCGAAGAAACAACTTCTCAAATCGAAATTCCTCCCAAGGGTAATCATTAAAAAAGAGAGTTTATTCTTCCTTTCTATTCACCACCCATAAATCAAAATATTACAAAGTCAGAATTAAATGTCAGTAATCTTTAATTTATTTTTGTTATCTTTTTTATCAAAATAGGTAGCACAGCATCAGAAAAATTTTGATAAGTCTTTGGTATTCAATAACTCCACTACTTTCTTAATTGCCAATTCCATTTCTTCAAAGTTTCTAGGTCTTTGTTTTTCAGTTTGCTGTCTAAAAAGATTAAAAACCAATTCAGTTGGGTTCAACATTGGGGCATAGGCGGTGATAAACCTAACTTCAATATTTTTTCTTAACATTTGCTCCTCAGTGCTTGGTAATTTTGCTTCTGCCCTCTTTTTTGGAGCATGATGAATTCGAGCATTATCCATTAAAAGAATATTATTTTTGTCTCCAATGGGATTAATTTCCTCCAAGAAATCGTAAAACACTTTTCAATCAACCTTTTTGTCAGTCAATTTACAATTAATTACTCCTTTTTCTTTTAGACTAGAAATAGCAAACAGCAAAGTATAATGTTTTCCCTTGCTACTTGGTCTTTTAGAAACTGCCCTTTCGCCTTTTAAGGCATAACCATATCTAGGGTCTAAATTAGGGTAAAAAGAACATTCATCTAAGGCAATAAAAGGGGTGTGAGGTAATAGAAGTTTAATTTCCTCATTAAATGCTTTTGCTTTTTCTTCATCGAGTTGAGTGTAATGATAGGTTAGTTTCTTATGAGTTATGCCTATTCTCTTTAATAAAGCATTAATGCTAGGTCTGCTTATTTTAATGCCTAATTCTTTAAAAACACAATCTGCCATTTCTTGCTGAGTTTTGGGCTTATCCTCTAAAGCATAAGAACGAACAAGACTAATGACCTCTTCATTTATTTTTGGTTTGCATCCTACTTTTAATAACTTATTTCAATTGATTGATTCTTTTAATTTAGCCCAACGATAAGTAGTTCGTTCACTTACTTGGTAAAAGGTAGCAATCTCACTCCATAAAAATTTCTTTTCTCGCAATTTGCTTATCTGCTTGAATTTTAGATTCATAGTAGTCAATTATTTATAAACATATCTATATAAACATATAAAAAGATAAAAAATAAACATTAGTAGTTTCCTCTAATTTTACAGATGTAGTTTCGCATAGTATTGCGTTTAGTAGTATTTTTTACGCTTCTTAAATACTCGGTTTTTTTGTTGTTGTAGAAATTTAGTAAGCATCCATCGCAAATAAACTTATCTTTGTTACTTTTATCTTCAGTTCACCATTCTCAATTGTTCTTATTGGAATAAGTTTTTTTTGGATAAATATATTTGACTATTATTTGATTATGACATTGATAACAGTTCTTTTCTAAATTAGGAACTTCTTTAAACATGTTTATATAGACTTATTTATATATATTATTTTATAGTATAATTTTGGGTAGTGGTTTATTTGATTAGGAAAATTGACAACTATCAGAGACTTTTTAAAAATCTTTCTTTTTTCTTTTCTTGATGATGAATAAATTCTTTTTGGTTTTCCTTATCTTTTTCATCGCATTTTAACTCGCTAATAAGTTCTTTTTGAATTTCTAGAGAAGGAATTGGAATAGGGTAAATATCGATAAAATCAGCACTAATTCTCTGATGACCTACTGAACCTGTCATAACTGACTTGCCTTCTTCTAAAAAACTAGAATTTCTTAGGTAATAATAAATTCATTCTATTGGCATGCTATCCCTAGTCCTTAAAACAATAAATTCCGTAGAGCCAAAACCAATTCCATTTACTAGGTTTTTAACAATACTCATTTTTCCATTTTCAAAGCATGGAGTAATCTTAGCAATCAGTAAATCATTTTCTTGGAAGTAAGTATAACCTCGATAAACCTCTTCTATTTTCTTTGTTTGTTGAGGATAAACATATAGAGAGTATTCCTCAATATCTTCCATTGATAAAAAAGAAACTTCAATATCCTTTTTATCTTTCGTTTCCGACTTGGAAGGATTAACTAAGCAAACATCACTAATCTTCTTGATCTCACAAGAGAGAGAGAGAGAGAGAGAGAGAGCAATTTAGGTTGTCAATCGTTTTTTGAGCATTTTGAATATTCTCTTTGATTTTGTTTATTTCTTCAATAACCTTTTCTTGCTCTGCTAGCGAAACAATGGGTATCGGGATTTCTTTTAAATGATCTACTCGTAAATTTTCCATAACATCCTCAGAAAGACTACTATCAATAAAGAATTTCTCTAAATTTGGTGCTTGGAGAACAGCCAACAAATATTGCGGTAATATTTTTTCTTTGTTTTCTTCTTTAATTCTGATAACCGCTAAGCCCATGCTTCAAGCAATTCCTCTTTCAGCAGAAGCAGGAAAGATAGAGGCTTTTCCTCATGTTCCTGAAACGCTCATGATAATATCGTCGATCTGTAGTTCATATCCTTTTAATTGCTGATATCTTTCTTCCATAATATAACGATCTCCAGAAGAAAAATCGCCACTAATGGCGTGATTGGGCTGGTAAACTTTAGCATATCCACTACTAGCAAATTCTTCTCTTTTTAATTCGAAACAACCCCTTTTAATATTGGCGATTTCCGACAAAAGGAAATATTCTTTATTTGCTTTTTTAAGTAAAGAAAAATTAGGTGGCACAGCAAGAAGGTTATATTTATCATTCTCAATATCGCGATAATAAATCTTGGTAAATAGAGGAGAATTTGTTTTTTCTTCTATTACTACTTCCTTTCAAGAAGAAACCAAAATATCTCAGTCATTAACTCCTTCGGTTCTATCGCGATAACTGTTTAAGGTGAAACCATCGTTTTTTACTTGATAGTAATAAAAATAGTCTTTGGTTTTCCTCTTTTTTTCAATGATAATAACTGAACTTTTACTACCCGTATAAGGTAAGAAAGTTCCTTTGGGTAAAGAAATGATTGCTTGGATGGAGTAATTTTCGATTATTCATTTTTTAGTTTCTTTGTAGGCTTTTTTTGTTCTTTGGTTAAAAAAGCCTTCAGGCATAATTATTGCTACTCTTCCATTTAATTTACAGGCTTTTAAACAATGTTGAATAGCTAAACAATCACCATAATTACAATTGATTGGGTATAGGTGTCCATAATCAATATCTTCAAAACCAAATGGAATATTGGTTATCACTAACTCATATTCATTATCAACAGGATGTTGGAAAGTATCTCTTTTCTGAATATTATTATGTCCATCCCCAAACAAAATCATGTTCATTTTGGTAATGCGAGCCACATTAGTTATTTCATTTCCGTAAAAACTGTTTCTGAGTATTTTTAGGCTTTCTGAATCAAGTTTTACCCGTTCGCTGACATACTTAAAACATTCAATAAGCATTCCGCCTGTTCCACAAAAGGGGTCATAGGCTTTGTCTTTAAAGCGAGGTTGTAAAATAGCGACTAAATTTCTAATAACATGGCGAGGAGTAAAATATTCTCCTAAATCTTTTTCACCTGCATTATATCTTTGAAGGAAATATTCAAACGCTTCTCCTTTTACATCTCTTTCGGTTTCCACTAAAGACAATGGATTAAGTCTAAAAACTATTTCTTCAAGAGTCTTAGTGTCTTCAATCTTGCTAACTGAAAACAATTCTCCTTCTTGATATTTTTGCCGAAAATGCTCCAACGCTTTATCCATACGGCTCTTTAAATTATCACCTTTCTCAGTCGATCAAGAACTTCATAAGTGCTTTTTTTCAACGGTGGATTTTTCTTTTTCCTCTTCAATCTCACCAATTATCTTCAAAAAAAGAATGTTAGCAAATTCACTAAATCGTTCCTCGCCTTTTCTTAATCCTTTTTTTCACAATAATTTATTTGCTTCAGCAAAAATTTTAATGAGTTCTTGACGAGATAAAATAATTCTATTTTCTTGGATAATCAAACGGGGTTGCTCAACAAACTTTAGAGTCTCTTTTTCAGTAAAAAATTCTTTTACTTCTTCTCCATTACGAATCAATGTCTTCTTAAAGTTAACATGGTAACATTTAGTAAATTCACCATTAGTAGCAATAACTAACGGTGCTTCAATGCTTTTAGCATAATTAACTCCTTGTTCTAAGGCTTGATAAATATCTTCAGTTGGTCTCTTTGCTTCAATAACAATTAGAGGATTAGTGGTTCCTGATTGGTAGAGAATATAATCAGCCCGTTTACCTTTCAATTTTTTCTTCTGTTCTTCAGTAGCAGGTTGCTGTTTTCAAACATTTCGTTTATCACTGTGGATATCATCAATTCAACCTAAATCCCTTAATTTAGACTCAATAAATGTTTCAATATCTCTTTCATTAAAAGTAGTTTTCATAATTTACGCTTTACTTGAGAGAGATTTTTTTGGGAGATTGTTAATAATTTTTAGTCATTCTTGAACATTTACCATAATGAATAATTTTAAAAAGATTTTAGAGTTTATTCAAAGCATACAAGAAGTGTAAGCGAAGTTAAAAAAATTCACCTTTTAAGGTTATTTTTCTCTCTTTAATTCATAAATCTGCTCTCTAATTTCTCGACATTCTCTTTCCAGTCGAGAACTCCTGTTGGCTTTACTTATCGCAATAATTATCATTATAATCCAACCAATAAAAGGAAGAAAAATCCAACAAATTCATCAATAACTTTCTCAGACTCTATCTTTTTCTCGCTCTTTATACTTTAATTGTTCATGCAAAATACTAATTTCTCTCTCTCTCTCTCTCTCTCTGTTGCTATTATTTAAATGCTTATCATTGTTTACAGTTTCCATATTTATTATTTTTGTTAAAATTAAGTTAATAAGCAATTAATATGAGAAAACCCTTTCAAATAACAAAAACTCAGGTTTACCATGATAAACTTCTTATCTGATTAGATGATAACCTAGACTATAAAGATAAAAGTTCTAACTCCATTACTGTCTTTAACAAATCACCTTTTAAGGAACTAAAAGTAGGTGATGATGTGGTTGTTGATACTGAAATAGTTGCTGGTTCCTTTCAAAGTGCTATTTTTGGTGAAAACACAATTAGTAAAAGAGGATTTTAAAAAGCGGCAATTAATTCCGCACATGGCAGCAGTAAAAAAAAAAAAATCTAAAAAATTAAAGGATGAGTTAAGGGATAAGATTCTTGATAGATTATTAAATAGAAGAAAAGTCTCAATTAAAGATTCTAAGCATGAAAAATATACTAATTGTGGTGAAATACTAAGTATATTTGCCAGTCACGCTAACACCAATATTTCTAAGGCAAGTTTGGAAGAACAGTTTTGATTTAATGACTTTGCTTGACGTTTTTTTGAAACTTTAGAAAAACATGATAAATTATGCCCTGTATGTTCAGAACTTTATAGATGATTAGGAAAAGAATTAGCTGAGAAAATAATTAACAAGGAAAAATATGAAGAGCCAATTATAGAAGACTTAAAAAAGAAAAAGTAGTTTAGGTGTTACTGACATTTAATTCTGACTTTGTAATATAATATTCGTAATTACATCCATCACAAAATTTTTTTTCGTCATTCATATTAATAATTATTTTAGGGCTATTTTTTCTTCTTTCTTTGGTTTTTTGAGGTTTATTTTCTTTTAGGGATAATTCTGAAATTAAGATAATAAAAATCATTGAAAACGAGGCTACGGAAAAAGAAATAACTGCAATGGCTAAGTAAACAGGTTCGTCAATTATTCCTTTTAGAAGTTTTGGATTGAAAAAGCTGAACACTGATACTACTAAAAGAAAACAAAAAAAAGTTAGTGGTCAATCTATTTTTTTTCTTTCTAATCTCTTTTTTCTTTTTTTGGCTTTGTTTTCTTTTCTTTGATAACATTCTTCACAGTAAATTACTTTTTCAGAGTCATTGAATCTGAAAATATGATTAAGAGTCCAGTTCAAAAACTTTCTCTTGAAGGATTATTAACATTTGAAGAAAATTCATGAATTTTTTCACCATTGTAAATTGATTTAGAACATTTGTGACATTTAGTAATAACCTCTTTTTTTGTTAATTTGCCATCTCGAACACATTCTTTACAGCCTATTGAGTTTTCTACTTGAACTTCTTCTCCTTGTAAGATTTTTTCAAAACATTTACTACACAGCATATATTTGATAACTTTTACTTTTTCTCCCTCTTAATACTCAAAAGTTAATTTCTCTTTGAGAACGCTTAGAGCATTTCACTTAAAATTTTGGCTAACTCCCTTTCTTATAATTTTATTTTCCCGCAAGCGATTTTGTAATTCAAGCAGAAATATTTTGTTGGGGATTTCTTTTAATTGAACATTGGGATATTTCATAATAGCATTATAGTGTTTTTTTTAATTCATTTTACTAAAAAACTATGTTTTCAACTCTAACTATTAAAGTATTCTTTTAAATCTTTCTTCCGCTTCCTTTTTATTTAATAAATAAATGATTTGCGGCAATTCTGGTCCTTTATCTGTCCCAGTTAACATATTCCTTACTAACAAATAAAATTCCTTTTTGGGTGCTTGGTTATTTAGACAAACTGATTTAAGAACTGATTTAATATTTTCTGCTTCTCATTTTTCTAATTGGTTTAATTCTTTCTGCAGCTCCTCTAACCATAAAACTTCCTTTTCTTTAATTTCAATTTTTCTATTAGGCCTTTGAAAAAAATAAGTAGTTAAAGTAATTAACTCTTGAAAATAATTCAATTGGGGGCGGAACAAAAGGGCAATTTTGACTGCTCAGTCTTTTTTTTCAACTGGTAATTTGTATTCTTGGGCTAATGCTTGTCAAGAATAGTCAGCAAATTCTCTGTCTTCTAATTGCTGAATATAGTGGTTATTGTATCAATTAAGTTTTTCCAAATCGTAGACTGCTCCACTGGCATTAAGTCCTTTTAAATTAAACTCTTTTACTGCTTCGGATAAAGAAAAAATTTCTTGAGTAGTCCCTGGATGTCAACCTAAAAGCAATAAATAATTAACTAATGCTTGGGGCAAATAACCTTTTGCTCGTAATTGACTAATTAATTGCCATTGACTAGTTTCTTGGTCCCGCTTGGAAAGTTTTTTCTTTTCTTTATTGAGAATTATGGAAATATGTCCGAAAAGGGGTGGACTTCACTCTAATGTTTCATATAATACCAATTGCTTTCCAGTATTAGACAAATGTTCTTCCCCCCGTAAAACATGACTAATTTTCATGAAATGATCGTCAACAACACAAGCAAAATTGTAGTTAGGAATACCATTTTGGCGAAAAAGAACAAAATCTTCAATATCTTGACCCTGAAATTTTACCTCCCCCCGTACTAAATCAGGGAAAAAATAATTTCTTTCTTGGGGAATTTTTAGACGCAACACATGAGGTTTTTGTTGGTGGAGAAAAGTCTGAATTTCATTTTCTGATAACTTTAAGCACTTTCGCGAATACTGGTAGTTTCTTTTTTGATTTGTTTTTATATACTTCTCCTTTTCCTGGACTAACTCCTCAGACGAGCAAAAACAAAGGTAAACTTTTTTTGCTTTTAATAATTGTTCGATATACTTTCTATAAATACTTAGTCTTTGCGTTTGTCGGTAAGGGCTATAATCTCCTGGTTGAAAAATTGACTCGTCAGGCTTGATACCTAGCCACAATAAGTCTTGGTAGAGATTATTAACAAATTCTTCCTGGTTTCTTTCTAGGTCAGTATCCTCAATGCGGAGAATAAATTGACCTTGATGTTTTTTCGCTCAAAGATAACAAAAAAGAGCCGTGCGGGCTCCCCCAATGTGCAATTCTCCAGTCGGACTAGGAGCAAAGCGAGTTCTAACTATATTATTTTTATTTTCCACCATGTGTGGAGTCTATAACTTTTTTAATTTTTTTTAATTCTTTATGAATTAAATAAATATCAATGGCAGCAAAAAACAGGGGAATAAAATAACTAATGAATAGTAAATTCTGATATCGTGCTGCTGAACCCGCGAAGTCTTTGTCGCCCAATCCTTGACCTTTAATAAAAATTTTTATTAACTCTCCACCAATAGTTAATATACCGAACTTTTTTAAAGTTTCTTTACAATGCTCGTTAGACTCTGTGGCTTTATTTATTATGTAATCTTTTTTTGCATCATCTATTCCATCTGTTTTATTGATTGCAAAACACATCTGATTGAAGGGAGATTTTAATAGAGCTGTCACAAAACCATCTAAACTAAACAATAGACCCTGAATTATTGCTACTATTGTAAACATTCATCATTCTTGACTGCTTTCTACGGATCTTGATATCACCATTCTTCAAATTAAGTAACACAAGATATAGATGGAGATCAACCAAAACAAATACTTTCAATATTGACAAAATTTGTCATTTATTCTCTTAAAAGTTTTTTTATCAAGTTTTTTAATTTCTGATTTTTTATTATTTTTAATTTCTTTATTTTCTATTTTTTTATTGCCCATACAGGAAATATATTTTATGATTTTTTAAACTGTTAGCTTTCATCGACCTTTGGTGCGACGAGCCACAATCACTGAATAATTTTTCTTCATTCGAGACAAGAAGCCGTGCTTTCTCAATCTTTTCTTTTTTTTTGGTTGTCAAGTTCTTTTCATACTAATAAATAATTTTAATATATAAGCATGGTGTTGTGAAGACCTTACCGTCTGCGGAAAAATTGACAATTTCAAGAAATAATCATGAACGGACAGAAAATAGTCAACCCTAGTTTCGTTGTTTTTTCAGTAGAAAATAAACTAGATAATTGTCAATTTGGTATTAGCACTCCTAAAAAGTTAATAAAAAAGGCTGTTGACCGTAATCGTTACAAACGGCAAGTTCGGGACATGTTAATAACCCATTTAAAAAAACATCAAGACAGTTGTCAAGTAAGTGATAATCATTCTCATTACAATTTTGTTATTATTGTCCGCTATCCTTACCTAGAAAATGATTTTGCCACTAACCAAAAAAGTCTCTACAAATTATTACCTGCGGCTGCCCCAATAAAGTCTAATTCTCATTTGCGAAAATAAGGCAAGTTACATAATTTTAACTATTTTTAACAATCAAAAAACCACCTCAAGAGAACAAACATTATATAATAAAACTAAATTATAGAATAGAAAAAGTTTCTATATAGATAAAAAAAGTATGGGTTATATTTTCTCCCTACCCCTTTATCCATGGCAAAAGGTCAGTTAAAAAGATACTTCACACTTTCGCTCGAAATTCTTTTGAAGCATGCCAAAGGATTAGTAGCGACTTTACCGGAAGTAAAACAGGGCAAAGTAATATTCGAATAGATTTACCAGGATTTGTTAAAATCCTTATGAATCTTTACAGATTTCTTTACCAATTCCACTGTTCGAATATTAAGAAAAGTAATTGGTGTAAGTAGAAAACTTTTTTTGCTAAAAGGTTTTATTGGCGTAATTTGGACGTCGGGCATAGTCCCCTATTTAATTCAGAGTAAGTAAAAAAAGAAATCCTTACTTGACTTATTCAAATAAATAAGTAAGGTGCTGAGCCAGAACAGATAATAAATCTGGGCCCACGCTATTTGAGGCAAGAGAATGTAAAATATTATGGGAAATCAACAATCAAACGAAAGAAAAAGAAATTACAAAATATGTAAAATTACAAGTGTAGACGAACATTCAGACTGAATTAGCTGTCATTTAGATGATTATGTTCCTTACAGTAATGGAGAGCATGGATATATGGATTTTGAAACAGACACTACTTTAAATTTTCTTGAAGGAGCAGGTGATCTGTTTGGTCTTACTGCTCCTAATGCACCGAGGCAAGCCACGCTTAGCAGAGGATGGTATATAGCAGTTGATACTGATCATACAAGAGAATACAAGAGCGGTCATAATTTCAGTCGACGTAGTGTATTTAACGTAAATGTAGGAAATAGCAGTGATTTGCCAGGAGAGGGAGGTTTTCAAGGAAACATTTCAGAAATAATGGAAACAAGAGAAATGCGTGATAGGGCGAATGAATGGTCTGATTTTGACAAACAAACACAACGAGCATGGCAATTACAACCCCCTAAAAAGTAGGATGATTATAAAAATTTAGGGGAGTAAATGTGAGGAATAAATCCTAATGTTTGATTAGCAAGCCAGCGAAGAGGTAGTGGGGACTCTCCTTCCCCCTCCCCCTGATGACAACAACTAATTTGAATAGTAATCTTACTACTCTTTGTTCTAATAATCTGGTTATTAGTAGAAGGGAAAAAGAGAGGAAAGAAAAAGAAGAAAACCATCCAATATTCACCGCGCCAAAGCAAAAGCAGAAAAAAAAAGACAGATTAGAAACCTGATACAGAATTAGCCAAAATTTAAGAAAAGGGGAGAAAAAGGGAGTTTCCGCGGACTCCCTAATTCCTTCTCCGTCAAGAAGCAAGAAGCGTTAATAAAACATTTGCTTCCTTCTTACCAATAATTGAGTTCTAAATTGAATTATTAGATTTTTTTACTAGTTTTAAGTTGCAGTGCATTTTTCAAAAATTAATAATATATGTCGCGAAAAAGAAAGCGAAACTTCAACCTAGGAAAAAATAAACTAGTTAATTTACTGAGAAATAGTTTGCGGATAATTTTCCTAATTATCTTTTTTCATTGAATTCTTTGATTTACTACTTATGCTAAGTGTACTAATTACCGTGAGGCGATAAGTGATGAAAAGATAGACCAGCATGATAAGAAAACTGAAAAGTACAATAGTAAAGGTTTATTAAGCGACAAGTTTGAAGAAAAAAATATTGGGGAAGTTGAAAACGACATTTTAGAACAAATTGAGAAAAAATCAGAAAAATTGAAGGAGGGTGACTTACCAAGGAAGTGGGAGGAGGAAAAGCTGCCCGAATTAAAAAAAATACACGAGAAAATTGAAGAATTAGAGAAAAAAGAAAATAAAAGTTCCGCAGAGGAAACCGAATTAAAAAATAAAAAAGCAGAGTATGATAAAAAATTCAAGGAAGACAAAGAGGATACTATTAAAAATATTCAGGAACAATTAGAAAAAAATAACTTAAATATTACCGAACTAGATGATAATAGAAGTCGATGACAGCAAATGACCCATGACCCTTTGAAGTTTTGTCTTGTTTCTCCGCTTAATAAGTCTAGTAAAGTATTTGGGATACACAAACACCCATTTTTGGAGATAATTTTTAAATTAGTAATTATTGAAATAATTTTGCTTTTTATTTTTTATTTTGAAACGATAAAATTGTGAGAAAATATGGAAAAAATTCGTGACCCTTATTTAAGTGTGGAAGAAAAAGAGCAGTTGAATGAGGAAACTTCCCCCTTGGTTAAGTACATTTTCTTTAATGGTTTCATGATGGTTTTATTTAATTTTTTCCTCTCTTTCCATCCGGCTTTCTTTGATCGAACAACTTCTTTATTCCAAGCCGGGGGACCTGGGACACAATGATTTGTTTGGATTGGCCCTCTCTTTATTTCCTTGTTTCTCTCTAACGTTAGTAATGAATTCTTGCGTCATGGCCGTCTACTAAACGCACAAGAGTTAAAAAAATATGTGGCAAAAAGTTGGGCAATTAATCTGATTTTTGCTTTAGCTATAATATTATTGGTATGAAAGTTTAGAATGAATAGCGTGGGAAGTTATTTACTCTCTTTTTTGGGGGGGGTGGTGAAGTTCATAATAAACACTATTCGCGTAAAGTTTTTTGGTCATCGAGAATACTTGCCAAGAAGAGGAGCCGAAAGAGGAGCTGAAACAACTACTGCACATCATAAGGAACAGTATAATTAAGGTAAAGTTCGCTGATATATTCTCAATTTAACAAATGGTTAATTAATCTCTTGACATATTCTTCCCGATTAGCACCATAATCCAAATAATAAGCATGCTCTCAGACATCAATAGCGATAAGAGGACGACAATGCAAGGACCAAGGACCGTCCTGATTAACAGTATTGATAATTTCTAATTTTCCTTCTTTGTTTAACACTAGCCAAGTTCAGCCGCTTCCTCGCACCCGCAAGGCACTTTTCACTAATTCTTTTTTCAATCTTTTCAAGTTAGTAAATTTGCCCTGAATGAGATTTAATAAGGCCAAACTAATGCTTTCTTCCCGTTCATACTCTTTGTGGTCGGATTTGAAAGGGGTAAGATGGAGAAAAAAAAAGTTATGATTAATTAGCCCACCACCAAAGAAGCGCACATCGTTTCTTATCTCCTCTGGTAATTGTTCCAAGTTTTCCATCAACTTTTCCAAAGATTGCTGCTCGATTTCGGTTCCTCGCAATGCTTCATCAAGTTTAATCCTATAATTTTCGTGTAGGATTTTATAATGAAATCACATAGTTTTAAAGGAAATTACTGGCTCCAAATCATTAAGTCCGTATGGCAAGTTAATTTTTTGATAATCATTCATAATTAGTATAATTTTATATTAACTTTTAGTTCGCGGTTCCAACCAATAACGCAAAATGAATTATTATGTAACCGCTTGAGAGTGGTTAGACAATAAATTTGCTGAAAATCCAGATGCGGAGGATATTTTTTGCCTTACATATCCACTTTTATATGTACATGGTAGTTTAATGATTAGTAATTTTCCTAGTTGAAATCAATTGGAATTACTGGTGGCAGAGATGTCCACGCAACGCCCTGTTAATGAATTTAACATTCTTCAAATAGAAATAAAAAATTGTTCCAAACTAGCGGAACATTAATGAAGTAAATGAGTAGTAATAAAATAGTTTCTGATAACTTAGAAAAAATGAGTTAAAGAATATTCGTATTAGTCGTTATAAGAAAACTAATAAAAAATTAAATAATGAACTCGCAAAGTGAAAACTAGGTAAAAAAATAACTAGGATTGGTGTTAATTACCTTAATTATGTCCTCTTTCTTTTTGAGTAATTGGAGTATTTTTTCGTCAATAGTTCCTTTACAAATAAGGTCAATTACTAAACGAATGCGGGAAGATTCCGAATCAGTAATGGGTAGGAAACGGGCTTCGGCTTGTTCGTTATCAGCCGGAGAATAACTACGGTCAGCAAAAATAATGGTTTCGGCCTGACTAAGATTTAGTCCCACTCCAGCACTTTGAATATTACACAGTAAAATACCTAATTCACCACTTTGAAATTGACGAATGCATTCCTCTCTTTCCTGATAATTAGTTTTTCCAATAATAAGGCCAGTGGCTATTTTTTGTTCGGCTAAGGCTTTGGCCAAGGGTTCTAAGAAAGTTTCGCTGCGAGTAGAAAAAATTATTATACTTTGTTCTTTTCTTTCTTGCAAAAAACTAATCAGATAATTAATTTTGCTACCTGGTCCCGGAAAATTCAAAGCCGGCGGATAAAGAGTAAGAGTTTTTAAGTTGGCCAATACTTCGAGCGGTTGATAATTTTTTCATTTTTCTCGTCATTGGGAGTAAACACTCTGCTGTTCATCTTCCATTAAGAGATATTCTTTTTGATAAATGATGGGTGGCAACCAGGGCAAGACTTCTTTTTGTCTTCGATTGACTGAGAATTGGCTAATTTGTTTTTGTAATTCTCGGCGCAGGTGTTCGCTTTTAAAATCTTTTACTTGAAAAATTTTGTATACCTCTTTCCCCCTACGAATTTCTGACTTGTGGACGTAAAAATATTGTTCGACAAATCTTCAATAGGAAGAGTAGGTTTCGGGATTAAGAAATTTGAGAATTCCGAATATATCAGGCGAGCGATTAACAATCGGGGTGCCAGTGAGAGCCATTTTGTAGGGAGCATCTTTGAGTGCATAAATACTTTTACTTTGCTGCGATTGATGATTACGAAGAAAATGGGCTTCATCGACAATGACACAATAAACACCGTTAGTCTCCTTTCTTTTTTTTAACTTTTTAAAAAGCAGACTATCAATTTTAAAAGTATCCTTGGAAACAATAATAATTAATTCTTGTTCTTGCAATAACTTCTGATAAAAATTATAACGTCATTCTTTATCCAAATAAGTAATGATATGAGCTGGTTTATTCAACCATTCCGCCACCGATTTTTGCCATTGTTGTTGTAAGATACTAGGAGCAATAATTAGTAACTTATTTACTGGTCACTGCCGAAAAGTCATTAAGGCGATTGGGGTCTTACCGGTTCGCATTTCACTAAAAATGGCAACATTTTTTAAGTTACTCAGTAATTTTACATCTTCTAATTGGTAGTCTCTCAATAGTGGAGATTTGGTATTAGTTGATGAAACATTAGAAATAATTGCCGAAAAATCATAATCAGGAATTATCTTTTTTAATTTTTGACAACTAAGGAGAGTATTGGGGAGGGAGTAATATTTTAATTTACTCTCGCAGTTGGCATTTAAACAAAAGGCTCAGGGATAAGTAGTTTTGAAAATAATTTTTTCGGAATTAACTTCAATAATTTCCATTGATAACTTTTTCTCATTACTCGCTAAACTTTTCATTAATTAACAAAATTTTATTTTTTAATCTCCCGTTGTTTATTATAGTTGCAATAGTCAATCTTATTTCCCCTTCCCCTGGACGGTTTTTTTTGCTTCCCTAGGTCACTTACTAAATCTAACTACTCTTTGTTTATAGAATTATATTTCTTTATTAACGTTGTTCTTTTCCCTTAACTTGTTTAGATTATTATGCAATTGACTTTTCTTGCGAGCGGCTTTGTTTTTATGAATTACCTTTTTATTCTTGGCTTTGTCAAGCACTCTTTGTGTTTCTGATACCAAATTTTTTAATTCTTTATCATCCATACCTTTCTCTTTTAAATAAACCTCAACTTTCTTAAATTGGTTCTTGATTAGTGTCTTATATTTGCGATTTCTGGCTTGCTTTTCTTGATTTTTTTTTTCTTCCTTGATTGGCATTGGTATAGATATTTATATTTTTTATTAATTCCTCTTTGGTCAAATACAATAAATATATAAAATTAGTCAATATGGAAATGTACATGAAAGTCGAGATACCAAAGGGTAGTTCTAATAAAATTGAATACAACAAAACTAAAAAAAGGTTTGAGTTAGATAGGGTTTTATCGGTGGCGATGTCTTATCCGGAGGAATATGGTGTTATCACTGAAACATTAGCACCTGATGGGGATGAATTAGATGTTATTTGTTTAACTATTCAGCCTACCTTTTCTGGACTTTATGTTCCCATACGAATTATTGGAGTTTTAAAAATGATTGATAAAGGCGAACAAGATGATAAGTTATTAGCGGTGAATGCTGGTGAACCGAGACTGAACTATATTCAGGAATTAAAAGATATTTCTCTTGCAAAACAAGAGGAAATTAAACATTTTTTTGCTCGTTATAAAGATTTAGAAAATAAAAAAGTGGAAATAGGAAAATTTGAAAGTAAAGAACAGGCCGAAAAATTATTAAAAGAATGTCAAGCAGCCTACAAAAAGAAATAGTTAAATCTAAACTGTTAGGCAGAGAAAAAAATTAATCCTCCAAATCTAGCACCAATTTTAATTTTTCTTTGGTTTCTTTCATAATTTCTTTGTCTGCTACTCCAATATAATCTCCTAAGCGGTCTTTTTTTTCAATGGCTCGTAAACGGTTAAATAAAATCTTGCTGTCCTCATCTAAGCCATTTTCTTTACTTCTCTTAATAAGTAATTCATAAGAGCGAATTCTTTCTAGTTCTTTACTACTCAACGGAACCACTATTATTTCTTCGTCAAACTCATTCTGTGGGTTATTGCTAATCACTAATGAAGGACGGATTTTTTTAATCAAACTGGCTATTTCTAATTCTTTTTCTTTACCTTTTTTCGGCTTATGGTTGTAATTTATTAATCAAATTTCTCCCCTTTTTGGGATTTTTTTAATGGCTTTACTCATCTTCTATTCCGTCTTCAATGGTTCCTTCTCAGATTTTATCCTCCTCTCGCATTTCTTTACTTCTAGCGGTTGATTTGTAGTCAGCGATTAATTTTTCTTTTTTTTGCTTTTTGAAATATTCTTTTAAAAGATTGTCAACCAGTGAACTAACTTGCCCATCTGGAATTGTGCGTTTTACTTCTCGATAAGTGTCTATGTCTACACTCAAATTTAGGTTTCTTTTCATATACTATATTTTATGCTTAAACTTTGTAGTGTGCTATCTAATTTCTTTCACATTAGTTCCCTCCAATCAATTTAAGTTGTTAAGGTTAAGTTAAAAAGAAGCCGAAACAATTTTATTCTCACTTTTCATATTCCTTATAATTCGAATAAAATCTCGCCGTTTTATCAATTCTCACATGCAAATAAGGAACGCCCGTTCCCTCGGTATTTAACCAGCGAGGAGCATCAGCATCTTTTTTCAATTCTTTCATTAAACTATCAACCACTTCTTTTCAGAGTGCTTGTTGCTGTTCCTCGGGGGCGTTTTTAGTAAATTTGCTGATATTTTTGTAGTCCGCTGTGCCTTTTGGAACCGGAGAAATCAATGTGCTACCACTGAAACCTAAAAAACTTACGACTTGGTTATCATTACTTTTTCCAAAATGCTCTTGGAAACTAGAATAATTTTGAGTAATATTATTTAATTCATCTGATTTTATTACCACAAACTCAAAAGTTTTACCCAAAGTTTTCTTAGATACCGGTGGACATTTTCAAAAGTAGGCTGGAAACTTAGAATTAGCATCTTTTAAGGCTCCTTGGAATGCTTGGAAAAAATGTTTGTCCCTTGTTTTAAGAAAAATGATAAAATTAGCAAAATCTATTTCACTACCATTTACATCTAGGGCTATTTTGTATTTATAAGTATTGTCATTTATTTTTGTGCTAACAAAATTAAAACCCTTTTTATTATTATCCTTACCAGGTAAATCATCATCTTTTTTCTCCGGGGATTCAGGGTTTTTGGTTGGTTTTTCTTGGTTGGGTTTAGGGTCGTCAACTTTCTCAGGTAATTTTAATTCTTGACTAATTGTTTTAATGCTCTGTGTTAAATACTGAATAGTTTTCTCTTGCTCTTGGGGATTTTGCTGAGGGAGAGTTTTTAATTTATTTTCTATCTCAGATAATTGAGCCGAAAATTTAGTTTTTTTACCGGAATTCTCAGACTTATTTAGAGTAGTTTGTATTTGGTTTAGTTGACTTTGTAATTGTTGAGCTTTTTCTTCCTTAGATTGACTTTTAGTTTCGGTTTTATTGTTTTTAGAATTAGTAACGAAATAAATTATTGTTCCAATTCCACCAAGAACAACTATTCCCACTATTATTCAGACTAGATTACTTGTTTTTTTTTTTTTTTTTTGCTGAATTCATAGTTCATTACTTAGGTGGGATTTGGATTTTATTTTCTAATTCAATAACCTTATCTTGCAATTGTCTAATTTGATGGTCTTTCTTTTCTTCCAGTTCCTTAACTTGCCTTTCTCTTCATTCTTGGGCTTTTTGGAGAGCTTTTTCCGCTTCTTCTCTTTCCATTTGTAATTCTTCTTCTAGTTCTCTGATTTTTTGTTGTTTACTAATGACTTCTTCTTGAGCTTCCTTAGTTTCTTTTTTTCAACGAGTGATTATTAGATTAGAGTTGATTTGCCTTCAAACTTGGATATCGTCTAATCAATTAAGTATTTTCCCACAACCAGCTTCATCTCTACACAAATTATAACAATAAATCTCCACCAAACTATCTGGCAGATATTCTAAACCAGAATCAACATCAGTATTTGAAAGTCCTAAAACTCTTAACTCAGTTAAGTTTTTAAGTGCCTCTAGGGAACCACCAAAACGATTGTAAACATCAGCTTGTATTTTTGCTTCATCATCGGTTCCTACTCTTAGATCGTTTAAGTTATAATACTTAGCGAAGCAAGTCAAATCAGCTGTTGGAAAATTATTGTTTCCTAACCAAAGAACCCTCAATTTTTCTGAGTTTAAAGGCAGTTTGATAGCAGTAAGTAAGTTATCTCTTGACAAAACAGAAAAAAGCTTATTACAATTACTTATGTCCAAACTAGTGAGTTTGTTATATATACAATTCAATTCTTCTAAATTATCAAATCCTTCTAACGTCAAACTTCCTTCTAAGTTCCTACTACTAATGTCCAAACATTTTATTTTGCTTCTTTTTTCTATTTGATAGTTCTCATCCAATCATTTTTGAGCATTTACCATATATGTATTTAATTTTATCTTTTATCACACTTATTGATAAGCAATTTCTCCCAACCTCTTATTTAATTGTTGAAAGCCTTGCTGGAATAAATCAATAGTTTCTCAAAAAAAGGCTTCTTGGGGTTCTTGGGGCAGATAAACCTTAACATTAACCAACGTCCGAATTTTATTTAAGGACTCCAGGTATTCCGACCAAAAATTATCTATTTCTTTCACTAAGCGAGCTTTTAAATATTCTGGTTCAATTGGCACAATTTCTCCTTTTGACTTTTGGGTTTTTTTCTTAATAATTTTGGTTAGGTCGGGTGCGCTTAATAACTTGTTGCGATAATTATAGATAAGTTGCCTCTGCCGATTGATAAGTAAGTCATAATTAAGATGATATTGACGATTGGAGGCTGAAAAATTCCGTAAAGTTTCTTGGGGTTCAGAGATGAGATAGTTAAATATTTTGCCGCTTAATGGACGATGGAAAAGTTCTTTTAGTTGCTTTTGACTAAAAATTTTCCCTACTTGCTCTTTAACACCAAAGTTCTTGATTAACTCGTCTTCTAAGGAAACATAAAAACGGCTTTCGCCCGGATCGCCTTGTCGTCCGGACCGACCTCGTAATTGGTTATCAATTCGTCGAGCCGTATTTCGCTCCACCCCAATCACTAGCAGGCCACCCGCTTTCTTGCTTTCCTCACTCAAAACGATATCAGTACCTCGTCCCGCCATGTTGGTGGAAATAGTAATGGCACCTAATTGTCCGGCTTGGGCCACTATTTCCGCTTCCTGTTGGTGATTTACCGCATTTAATTTGTAATGAGCTATCTTTTCTTTAACCAACAAAGAGGACAAGTATTCAGAAATTTCCACACTCGGCGAGCCAATCAAAATTGGCCTTTTTTTGGTTTGGCTGTTTTTTTTAATTAACTTAATAATAGCCTTATATTTACTTTCTTTATTCCAGAAAATTAAATCGTTGCGGTCTTTGCGAATTAACTTCCGATAAGGAGGAATGGTAATTACCTCCATTCCGTAGACTTGACGAAATTCGTCAGCTTCACTCTTGGCGGTTCCGGTCATGCCTGATAATTTGTCAAAGAGGCGAAAAAAATTTTGATAAGTAATAGTAGCAATGGTTTTACTTTTGGTACTGACTGGCAAGCCTTCTTTACTCTCGATCGCTTGATGAATACCAGAGCTATATACACGATTAGGCACTAAGCGACCCGTTAAGGCATCAACCAGCACTAGCTTTTGTTCCTCCTGATCGACAACATAATCGATATCCTTGTGGTAAAAATGCTTGGTTTTTAAGGCATTATGGAGCAAAAAATTATAACGATGGTTTTTAAAAGCGAAAAGGTTATCTAATTGCCAAAATTCTTCACATTTTTTAATTCCTTTTTTAGTTAGTCAAACGTCTTTTTCTTTTTGGTCAACCTTATAATCTTTTTTCTCAACTAAGGAATTAACTAACTTGGTCGCTAATTGATATTCGGCTGGGTTAATAACATTTTCGCCCTGAGCTCGCTGAGAAATAATGAGGGGATTGGTACATTCATCAATAAAAAGTGAGTCAATTTCATCGGCAATGGCATAATAATAATCCTGCTTTCTTTTATCTTCAATATTATTTATCAAGTTATTACGTAGATAATCAAATCCTAATTCACTGCCAGTAGTATAAATAACTGTGCAACCATTATATAATTCCTTTTTCTCCGTTGTGGAAATATTAGTTAAATTAACTCCCGAACTAATTTGAAAAAAATCCAGGATAGGCTTAGCCAAGTTTCAATCCCGTTGAGCTAAATATTCATTGACGGTAATAACAAAAACAGTTCTTCCCAACAGAGCATTAAGACAAATTGGTAAAAAAGCGGTGAGTGTTTTTCCTTCGCCAGTATTCATTTGGGCAATATTACCATAATGCAAAGCTATTCCCCCAAATATTTGAGTTGGGAACAGCAAAAGCCCAGTTTTTCGATAAATAAGTTCTCGTACTAAGGCAAAAACCGGAACTAAATATCTATCAAGTGCTTTTTCCCGACTTTTCTTAGGAGTACTGCGGATTTTTTTGCGATAATAATTGAACTTACTCTGTAATTGTTCGTTAGTAAGCAACTTGGTTTTTTTTCTTAAGTTGACTATTCTATTTTTGAGAGTGGTAAACTTTTTTAAAGTGCTTTTTTTTCAGAAATAATAGAACATACTATAATATTATAAGTTTTTTAGGAAAATGATTTTGGGATTAGTTATTAACCCAGCATATTAAAAAAATTTTGGTGGGTAAGAAAAATACAATAAAACTTCTTTATATAAGCATTATTTTTTTGGAAAAGTGAAGAATTAGAAAGGAAAAAATAAGTAGAAAAAACGGAACCGTAGCCAAGTGGTTTAAGGCCGCAGTCTGCAAAACTGCTATTCGTCGGTTCGAATCCGACCGGTTCCTCCAAAAAATTTTCTTAAAGAAATAAACTACTAATCATTCTACTCTTTCATTCCAAAACCAACATTTCAAATATTAATTATCTTTATGGATCTTTAAATCTAAACAGAGTTTTTCTAAAAAGTAAATAATATTAAGGAACAATGAACATACCAATTAATTATCAAAGAGAGAAAATTAAAAAATATTTCAATTTGCTTGTTGAGGAGTTTATTACGGATCCGAGACATAAAAAAGATATCAATATTATTTTTAAACAAAAATTTAAAAATGTATTAAAACTAGGTGAGACTGAACAAAGTGGGGGGGGGGGGGTAGCAAAACAGACAAAGAAACAACATGAACTACAATAAACGGGGTAAAAGTTCCCGGTTCTAAAAGAACTACTGCCACCACTACCTATTTTCCTTATAAGTATGTCATTACTTTTTTAAACAACTACAAAAATGAAGATGAATTACGGGGTACGGTGGTTCATGAATTTACTCATCTTTATCTCTATGCTACTATTGGCAAACATGACCACGATGACCGCTTTTACTCGCAAATGGAAATTTTAGAAAGTTGGTTAGACAAAAATCAAGGACTAAGTCCCCGTCTTGATAAAATTCATGACCGCGACCAGTATGTGGGTGATAATAATAGTGATACTAAGGATAAGGAAAATACTTGCCCTGAATGTTCTTATTCCAGTCCTCATCATTCCCCCCAGTGTTCTCATAAACAAAGTAAAAATAATTCTGTTCCACAAAAAACGGCCGAATTTAGCCTTCTAAAAAAAACATTAAAAGATAGCAAGAACCTAGCGACTTTGGAAAAAAACTATCAAACCGTCAAAGCTAGTTCTCTCTATTCCAATAGCAAAGGTGATAAAAGCAGGCTAGATAATTTATATCAAGCGCAAAAATGATATTTGCAGTCCCACAATAATAACCAATCAACCAATAACTCAAATTCATCTTTAAAGGAAAATAATTTCAGAGCAGACAACATTTTTTGATTATGTCTAGCGGGGGGAGGAGCAATTATCTTGGTAGGAACAATTATTTATCTAGTGGGAAGTAAACCAAGTTACAATCCAAACAAGAAGAAAATAAGATAATTTTTCCGAATATTAAGAACAACACCAATATATACCTAAGATGTCAATAGGAGATTATGGGGTGGAAATTACTCAGCGGCAAGGCATTGTTATCCGCAGGGGCGTTTTCCTTCTGCTTTCTCCTGATGACAAATACTAATTTGAATAAATAGTCTTATTGGTGTTTGTTCTCCTAATTTGATTATTAGTGAAAGGGAAGAAAAATGCTAAAAAGAACAACAAAGAAGAAGAAATTGTAATTTTTTTCTCTAATATTTGTGACAAAAATATTATATAGATTTACCGTGACCTTCAACAATAAAATTCACCTCTGTTATTTTAACATGGAAGATTTATGACAATGGATTGAGGAAAATAATTTGCTCAACCAAAATTTTACTTCCGAAAAGGAAAAATGAACTAAAGAAGCTAACCAAAAACCTAATTTTTTTTCGGATACTGAACTAATATTAATTTACCAGGATATCCTTATCTTGAAAGCCCTTACTGATAATCAGGTTTCTTTTTTAGCCAAAACTTACCAATTAGAGTATCAGGCTATTTGTCAAAAACTTTTCCAAACCAAGAAAAACATTGTGCTTGTCAGTGAGAAACAATGAAAAATGGACAAAAATATTTTATCTGAGAAGAAATTAAAGGCAATAGTTTTATTTAAAGATAAGGAGAATATTGAAAAAAGTTTGGTAAATTGATTAAAAGAAACGACTGCCTAATTTGCAATAGCTTTCCACAAATTAAACAATGTCTTCTCCACTAAGTTTATCAAATTGAGTGAATATCCCATTTCATTGTTTAACTTTATCTTCCATAAAATAAAGTTGGAGTTTTCTGTACCTTTTAATAACTTCTCCGGAAGCAGTCGTGGTAGTAAGTCCAAAAATATCATATATGTCAAATCCTAAATAGTAATGTAATCCCTACCATAATTTTTACTAAAAATTATTTAATTTAGAAGGCCTTCCATTCAGCACTTACCGTTTTTTTTTGCTAAATTCTACCATATATATGTCCTATCAAATTTAATTTTATGTATAATATTATTATTTTAATTGACTAACTTCCAGTAAAAATAATTTATTCTGCTTTTCTTTATGAAACCTAATTTTATTTATCTCACTCTTTTCCCTCAATATTTTC